TTTATCAACTCCTCTCAAAGTTTTTTACTTTTGTTTCATCACACAAAAACTCTGCATTAGAACAACCTATTTTTTTCAGACAGCAATCTTGAAGATCACTGCCACTGGAATGTTAACAACGTGACCTCTATCTCCAAACAGTCCGATTCTCCCAAAACTAGCTGTCGAATTGTTCTCTATCGCCCGAAAGACAAGATTCAAGACCTTTGTCTGACCATTTCCGATTGTAAACTTGTCAGGTGAGACTTTAACTGAGACTGAGTCCGGTGCCGTCCACCCGACTGTATATGTTTCGTTTGTGGCTGTGGTTGCAATATTAGTGACCCATCTTAGGACCGTTCGAGTACCAACTAGCTTAGCTATTGTGACTGAAGGTAGGTTCAGGTCAGAGGCTGCAAGCGAGGAGTTGTAAGCTAAGCAGTTTTCGCTAGTGTAGTTGAGAACGACTGGAGATGATCCATTGATTCCGCAAAGAAACTTCATGTACTCATTGTAACCTACATTTCATGTGAAACATTGATCTCTAATAAACTAGGAAAATTGTTTTCCAAGTGAAAAAGACTTTTCTTTTTTGCATATGCTCAAGGTAAAGAAAAGATTAAATTTTGAGGTTCAAGAGCGTGTTTACCTATGTCAAAAATTAAACCGGGGTCAAGAGCTGCCGTTGCATTGACGAATCCGCTACCCATATCGAAAGGTGTTGCAGGAGACTGAATGTCGGGGTTTAAGACAGCGCGTTGTGCCATTATATGCCCACCCTTTCTGTCTGATAAAGTAGCCGTTGTTGAGAGTGCGGATCCGATGGCTGCAGGTGTGAAATGAGGGAACTTCTGTTTGATGAGCGCTGCAATACCCGTTACGTGTGGAGCAGACATGCTTGTCCCCGATACCATTGCGAAACGCTCACCTAAATACCGCCAATTTAAGAGCTCAAAAAGACTACCAAAAACACAAAATGGGTAATCTTATAAGGAGAAATGAGGATATTTGTACCTTCAAAATCAGCTGTACCGATGCCAAGAGGACTCCAAGCGGCCCATATCGAGTTCCCGGGAGCTACTAAGTTGGGTTTCATTACATCAGCATTATCGAAAGAATCGTCTTCTGGGTCAGGTCCTCTAGCAGAGAAAAACATGACCTTTGGAGCTGTAATGCCATAAGTCGGCTTCATGCCACCAACAATTCTCGCAACCGAAGCAGACCCGACAATTTCTCCTGAACCATTGTCCCTCAACAGAGAAGAATTGTAGTACCGGAGTAAAGCCTGACCACAGGAAGAGGTAACCAGATTCTTATTTGGTGTGTCATAATCAAGAAACTACTTTGTATTTGAAGATTCTGATCAAACCTGAGAATCTTGTGAGGAGGAGATTAAAATTCCCGGGATATCCATCGGAGTTGAACTCATCTGAAAACCGATGGCAGAAGAATCCATATAGAAGACAAGACCTGACGCTGTTAAGTTCTTAGCTGTTATTAAAGCTTGTTTAATGGTTGAGACACCGAGGATGAATCGGACTGTATAACTGCAGACAAGGATCTTTCCCTGCACCAGCTTCTGATCGAAGCTACTCGAGTTTTGGCATTCCCCAACATATATAGCATCCATAACCGATGTACCATTGCGGAGCGCATGCGCAGCTAAAACAAGTTTGTGCATTGTTCTTGTACCAGCTAATAAAAAAAGGAGAAACCGATAAGGTAAGCTCGAGGAGGAAATCAAGAAATAAGAAGCTAAGCTATAAACAAAAGCGAGCTTACATGCGAGTCCAACTCCAGAAATAGTGACATTATTTCCTAGGATAATCGAGTTACTGTAAACTCTATCGTGAGTTGTAGCTCCTACTGTGAAGATCCATGGACTGAAAGAAGACATGCTCTTAGGAGCTGGTCCTGTGTTTCCAGCTGCTTGCACTACAAAGATCCCAGCTTTCACAGCTGAAAGCAATGCCATATCAATCGGGTTGAAGAACGTGGCAATACCAGGAGGACGTCTATTAGGTGTGATTGATAGGTTTATTATGTCAACTCTATCTTGAGCCGCCTTAAACAAAAAATATATCCATGAACATGTCAAACATTAAAAAAAAAACCTTCGTTGAACATTTGGTTGCAGGGGTAACATTTTTACCTGATCTATGGCTGCAATAATATCTGCTGCAAAACCTCCAAACTTCTTATACAATGCCTTGTAAATAGCGATACTGAGAATAACAAACATTATGTTAACATGAAAAGCATTTAGTTTCTCTATAGATTGTTTCCAAAGCGAATACTATTTTGTGGTAATTGACTTACTGAGCACGAGGAGCCATCCCGCTAGCATTTCCAAGGTGATGACCAGAAACTACCACCGGGATGCCGTGATTTCCAGCTGCAACAGAAGCTGTGTGCCTGAATTAATCAACCAATATCAGAATGAACCATTTGGCGGTTAATTAGTTAATCAGCATCAAGTAGGTTATATACACTTACGTGCCATGCCCATCACCATCAAATGGTGAAGCATCATCCATTGATGAATTCAAGACTCCTCTACTGATAGCCGACTCGGCGAAATGGCATGCTCCAATGAGCTTCCTATTGCAAGAACCGGGCGGGAAACCAGTGGCAACTTCGCATACACCAGTAAACCGAGGAGGGATTGGATACAAATGTCCCGAGATTTTGTCACTGAAACTAGGATGAGTAGGATCAATTCCAGTATCAATAAACCCTATAACAACTCCTTCCCCTGCATATTCAGATCCTCCTTCACGTAGCCAAGCTCCACGCGGCAAACCTAAGAACTGCGGCGTGTGAGTGGTTGCTTTCTTAACCGGAAAATCCAAAACCACATTGTCCACTTCCTCCCTAGCCGCGAGTCTATCAGCCTTAACAACAACAAAAACCCGGTTTTTTCGAACTCATAAGCTCAAAACAATCAACGAACACTAACATTTACCATATTCATTTACTACTGTTTTGAGTACCTGTTCTCTTGTAATAACAGCAGAAAATCCATTGATGAGATAGTGGTAGCTATACAGCTTAAGATAATTCTCCTTTCTCAATACTTTTCTCAACAACGAATCATGAACTCTAATTATAGAAGCACTTCGGTTCCTATATGTATAAACAAAGAGATTAGGATTATAACAATAGAGAATAAAGCTTGAATCAAAAATAAAAACACAATCGGACATTAACTTGGAGTCGTTTAAACAACATAAAAGGTTTCAACTTGGAGCACCATTTCAACTTTATATCCGTTGAGACTTTCAGGTAAAAGCCAAAGAGACAAGTAATCTGGGACCCGAAATCGACGAATTTCAAACATGTGTCGGACCATATAGATTGAGAGAGAAAAACCAAAATCAACAGCGAATTTCACGAAGTTTTGAGAGAAAACACCATAAAGATTGAAACTTGAAGAAGATAAAGGAGGTAGCTTTTTTCTACATACAATGTTTTGTAAATTTGAGACGAAGTAGCGGTAAGGACGTGTTTGGAGCCACTTGGTTCCTTGTCGGAAGAATGAACAGACGAAGGGTGCTTGAGAGTAACAATGTAAACAGCAGAAGAAGAAGAAGCGGTATTGTTTTGGTCTGAATCATCCAAACAGAACACAGAGGACGAAACCAAACAGAGCGCAAACACGAAACGCACAAGAGAAGACTCCTCCATGATTCTTGACCCAAAAATCTCACAAGAAAAGAGAAAAAGAACGGAAATTGCAGAGACCCATTAGACCTCCATGGGAGGTAGAGTAGAGTAGAGTACCTAAGAAGCAGAGAAGAAGGTCA